CCTATAAAAAATTATGCCAATGTATCTAATACATTTTATATAAGAATGAGACTGTTTTTAGAACACATCTCATAATTTTATATATTGTATATTATCTCTCAGTATAACTAAATTATTAGATAATATAACTAGGGTTTCGTTTGGGACTGCTTTCTAAAACATCTTTTTCATATAAAAATTTTTAGTTCAAGAAACTTTTGAACTAGAAATTTGTTTTAAAAAGCAATAAAAAAACCGTCACAAACGAAACCAAAAACATTAAACGAATATAGTGAAGAAAAACCGTCGCAAATGATACCTTTCTTCATCTTATCATCTTCATTAATTTGATCCTTGCATGCTTTCCATCATCCAATGGAGGAAAAGGTGTGGCTCTTGGAAGTCATTTTCATGGACTTATCTGCTATAAAAATGATTAATTTCCTTACTAATGCCTTCTCCATTAGTTCTCTCAGCCAACACTTTTTTTTTTTGTTCACTTTATCATATTATCTCTATTGATTTTCTTTTGACTATGTTAATATTCTTCGAATTAATGATGATGTTAGTAACATAAAGTTGTAAGCATCAAATTCTGCAGCACTAAACAAACTTTTTTATGTTAATTTTGACCATTCATGCATTAATTCAACTGTTTATTTTAATGGTCACTTCTTATCTTGTGGTTGAGAATAAATACATATAGATACAAAATCCGTTCAATATATGCGGTGATTATGGGGTTTTTGGAACAACTTTCATACTGTTTTGCTTCTAAAACCGCAATCAAAGTTCTATTTGACTATTGCTTTTTTTTTTTCCTTCTATTTTCTCAATATTTTCTAAAAAATGTATAGTTAATGTATGACAGCTTGGAATAAGTATTTATTCTAAAAAATAATATATTATAATATCCAAAAAAGTTATTTTTCCCGCAACATTTTCGCATCCATCTTTATAAAAATTTGCAATGTTTCAAACATACCCTTAATTGTCATAGGGCAGGTGCTCATATTACTTTATTTTAATGAAGTTGTACAATAAATTTTTTTATAATGATTTTACTTTAAATCTTTGTATAACATAATTTTATTTTATATTGTATTTAAAATACATTAAGGCTTCATTTGGAACAGTTTTCTTATTGTTTTCTAAAATAGCTTTTTAGTATAATTTTTTTTTAAGTAATGAAAAAACATTGAGAAAAAACTATCATAAACAAAGCCATTTAGAATACAAATTCTACAAATAGCACCAAAGTATATAAAATGTATATGCATCATATGTACTATGTAGACAAAGGCTTCGTTTGGTACGGGTTTCTTACTGCTTCTTAAAGCAGCTTTTTAGTACAAAAATTAATTAATTTTACTAAAAAACTGCTTTACGCAGCAGTAAAAAAGCTGTTTCAAACAAAACCAAAGTCACATATTTAATTTAGGATGATTAACTCATTGCTAATGCATCTTATCCTCCTTATAACTTTTGGTGACACCAACTATTCTTTTAGTACAAAAATAGAAAATTTTATTAAAATTTAAAATAGTTTATATGGAGAAGTCATATTAAGTATTATGTGATTAAACAAATTAACAATAATTGCATATTAATCTAATCATGCAATTGGAAATAATGAATAAATAAAATATTGATAAAATGATGGAATTCAAAATGCATCAAATAAACTAAAAACATATATAAAGTGAGCAATCAATGCACATAATTCTCTTTAATTTACAGCCCCAACTAATTAAACACTCTCAATTATTCAAATATTTAGGGGAAGTAAAAGGAATGAGAGTATTTCAAATACAAGAGTTTTAAAAATATTGGTGTTTGATTTACATTAAACGAAATGCTAAGTAAAATTTTGAAACGTTTGAAATTCACCATCTAATTTAACTTTAGTGTATTTAAAAATTTTCATATTTGACTCATTTTCAAATACATTGTAAAATTCTCTATCATTGCCAACACCATAGAGCACCGCTGCCACCATTGCCTGTCACAGCCCAACACCGCCTCCTACCGTAGCCGATAGCAACCACGACCAGCCGCACCACCATTTTTAGATTTTTAATTGTATTCATTTTACTTCAAGATAAACAAAAATAGTAATAATATTCATATGTATTTATTTCGCATTCATTCAAATAACTCAAAATATTTAAAAATATCGCATTCATTTTATATTGCATTTCATTTTACTATGTGTTTTTTGTTTCATTTCAATGAATTAGACGACGCTTAGTAAATTTTCATAAATATCAATAAAGTTGGAAGAAGAAAGCAACATCAAATTAAACAATTTCAATCTCATGAGAATTATATGGAGAACTTAAAACTTTTACATTATTTATTTTTAGAAGAATATATACATCTTTGGGATTTTTTGATATTGATAAAGATGTCAAAGAAATGGAATCTATTCTATTTTGACATCACCATCTCTCCATTTTTCCTTTTCAAACAAAGCAAATCTGAACTCCACAAACTGTCCTCCTGCATTATTTTGTTTGATGATTATTATTTTTTTCATGTTCCAAAGCTTCATAAATGGGAGAAAGTATTATGTGCAAACAGTCCATAGACCAATCAGAACGTGCCACATCACCCGATACCAAGCAAAAAAGTGATGTAGCGCGTTCTGGTTCGTCTCCGGACGTCGCCCGGGGTCCGCACAGAATAATTTTTCCATAAATGGACAATAATAGTTGGACAAAAACATTAAAATCCCTAGCTATAATTGAGCAGTTGGGTCCCGGCCGGCCAGCATTTCAAAGGTGGGGCTTCTAATTGCATTTCCTTCAATTTTTTTTTTTTAAACAGTAATATTTTTTATTTGTTATGCCATTTTAGCCAATAATTAAAATAAGCATATCTTATCAACAATGCTGAAAAATAAGGCTTTGTCTATCAAAATGAGGAGAGGAACTTCTCTCACTGATCACACACAATTGTATTGATTAATGCTTTAAAATTTTTGTTGGCTCGTTAATGCTACAAAACTACTATGAATGCTATGCATTGGAAATCCCTTAAGCAACGATTTTACAATCACTTGAGAAGAGTACTTATCACTTAGTTTAAGGTTTCGTTTGGAATAGCTTTCTTCCTGCTTTCTAACACAGCTTTTAATTAAAAAAAAAATTGTATTAGGAAGCTGCTTTAGAAAGAAGTGAGAAAGCTGTCCCAAATGAAGCCTAATTTCAATAGTTTTAATCATTGTTGCTACCACTACTACATTGCAGCAATAGTATCTGTCAAAACTATTGCAGTATATATTAAAAACCTTTGATGTAAGGAACAACATCAAAGCAATGGCTTTCGATATTTATAGTATAGCTTTTGTTTGGGATAACTTTCTCACTGTTTTTGTGTTATGGAAAACAATCAATAAAATAATCTATATTTCGGATGATAATGGCGCCTTTTGTGTTAGGAAATACAGTTTAAGCTCCAAATTAATGCCTTTTGATATTATGATGTAAACTTTGTTTGGGATAGCTTTTCAACTATTTTTATGTTAGTAAAAATAATAATTTAAAATAATATGTATTTGGATAGTTTTTACATAGCATTTTTAACATTTTGTCTATAAAAATTTATTTATTGAAACATACTTAAAATTGTAGTTGAAAAAGTGAGTTTTTTATAATAAAAAAAAGTAGAAAAGCATAATTATTCATCTCAAATAGCCATAGTTTGAACTTTGAAGTACTTTACATAAGCTTAGATAAGTAATCATTAAAAAATCACAAATAAACATATATCTATTAGAAAAATAAAATATTTAAACCTTTCAACAAAAAAGAAAGTAGTTGATTAGGAAGGCAAAGGAAACCTACTCATAGTTGTTTTGTTCACTTTCAAGAAGACTCCATTAAAAATATAGGAGATACATAATGTGATAAGACATCATTAGATTTTTTAATAAAGTAAGATAATCAAACATCTCAAAACTAATCAAATCAAGAATTAAGCTTGGAGTAATAAAAGTATTTGACCATCATATATAGAGAAAGAAGATATAAACTTTATTTAAAAAATACACGCTTTATTTTTAAATTTAAATAAAAAAAAACTAGATTATAAATATATGAAATTTTGCAATTCCTCAATTGACTTTAAAAGTGTTGGACACCCGTCGTGATTGTAATGCACTGCTAAAAGAACTTTTAGGCAGCAGATTTGAAACCACCTCTAACAAGTGCTGGAAAAAATCATAATTTTTAGTTGTGAGAGCCATTAAGGTTTCATTTGCGACAACTTTTTACTATTTTGTAAAGCAATTTCTTCATACAAAAATTTTTAATTCATGATATTTTTATACTTGAAAGTTGCTTTAAAAAGTAGTAAGGAAATATAAATTGGTGGAATACTAACTGTTTATTTGCTAAATAATATGCCATTATTTAAAATAAATAATTTAATTATTAAGACTCGTGAGGCTTTGAGAAATTTAATGTATATATAATTTTACCATTAATGGAAATATTTTGAATTTTTCTATATTAAAATTAAATTTTAAAATAATCTCTCAATTATTCATATATGATCATTTCAGTTTTCTAGTATAACGCTGCTTCAATTTAAGCTTTCTTTATGACAACTTTTATATTGTTTTCCAAAACCTATATACATATTTTTTATTATTAATGTCAAAGTATAATTTAATATAAATGATATTCAAATTAAAATTTCTTTTAATAAGTTCATAAATTTTATGAAAAATATGATGTGATGTATATCAAAATATGAACCCAAAGTGTTCAAAATATGATATTAATATTTAAATAAAATTAGTATTATTGAATTAATTAATATTAATAAATAATTTAAATATATTTTGATGCATTGTTTATTCAATTTTACGCACCCACGGTATTACTAATTCTTCCTTTAATTATTACAAACGCGTAGGAGCTGAAATCCCAAGTTCCAACAGAGAGCGGGTAATAACCGCTAAATCTTGGGGTATTTTCGTCCATAAGCGTTATATATATAGCCTGCTCAGGGAGACCAAAGATTAACCATCCTCAGTCGACCTCTTCTCTCATCTTGGCCTTAGCTCCACCGCAGCCGGCGAACTTAGCCGGGTAAAATGACAAAGATCTACCCGAACTCACCGATCTCTTCAACTCCGCTTGCGTCCATCTCCACCGAATCGGAACCGGCATCTCTCACAGTCTGGCGTAAATCTCTCCTCTTCAACTGCAGCGGTTTCACCGTTTTCGACTCCAATGGAAACCTTGTCTTCCGAGTTGACAACTATTCCTCGACGAGCCGCACCGAGATCGTCCTCATGGATGCGGCTGGAAAGCCCCTCTTCACCATCCGCCGAAAGGTACCGGATCTCTTTCATCCCGCTTTTTTCCCGCAATTTCATTCCCCTTTGGAATAAGAGAACTGCCGATTCTTCTAGATCGGAAAATTCCGGAATTCGTGAATTGGAATTGGGATTTGGAATTTTGTTTCAATCTGATCCGATTATTTTGTTTCTCAACCCTCCCTTCATTTCTACTTCTCTCCAAAGCCCTAATCCCCTTTGAATAATGCAAGGTTTTTCCGGAAATGAGATTTTCATCCATTCGATTCTTTTGTTACTGATCGGAACCTCTCTGGTTTCTAATGCAGAAGCTAAGCATTGCGGACCACTGGTACATCTACGACGGCGAAGCATCGGCGGCGAGGCCGCGTTTCTCAGTACGAAAGCATGTAACCCTGCTCCCTTCCAAGGAGCTAGCGTACGTGAACCATTACGGCCGAGCTGGCGGCGAGGAAGGTGTTATTTACGGCATTGAGGGCTCCTTCTCGCATAGATCTTGCGTCGTTTACGACGATTGCCGGCGGCAGGTGGCGGAGATCCGACGGAAGGAGGCGGTCGCCGGCGTTGCCTTCGATGGCGATGTGTTCCGCCTCGTCGTGCAGCCCGGCTTCGACGCCGCGCTTGCCATGGCTGTTGTGATATTGCTCGAGCAGATGTTCGGCTCGCGAGTAGCGGCCCTCAAGGACTGAGATTGCTTCGGCGCAGTTCTAGAAGTTTTTTTGTTTTTTTTCTTTGGCGGAGTAGAATTCAGAAAATCAGGAAGGGTTGCCTGTTATTAGTGCAACTTAGTATTGATTGTATATATATTAGTATTCAATATAGGTGTAGTAAATTATCGTATAGATTTATCTAATCAGAATCCATTTTCAAACCTAAGCCCCTCTTGTTGCTCATTTTATTTTCTCTTTTGATTTTTTTTTTCTAATTTTTAATCTCTTCATATTTTTTTAATGCTTAATAACAGGAGCGAAAACTTTATTGTTGAGAATGGACAATTGTAAGCCATCAAAATCTAATTCTACTTATTGGGGAACCTACTATTGCACAATATCACTACTTTGCGAATTGCCTACATGTTTATCGATGCCGCCTGCAAAGTTTGATTGTGCACAACATCATTGCTACGATTAATTATTCTATGTAGATTCCGAATGCTGGCTGGATGCGAATCACAACACGCCACATCACCGGTTTGTTGGTTACCGGTGCTTGGTATTGCTGTGTACCAGATGATGTGGTGTATTATGATTCGCCTATGAACCATTCGGAATCCGCACAAAATAATTTCTCTATAGCTACACCCATTACTTATACATCGCCACAGCTGTATTTGTCCACCTTGAAACAAAAGTTGGCTCCACCCTTATTAAATAACTATTTTGAGTATCACAAAATAATTTTATCTTTTCTCATAACCTGAGTGCCATGACCTATACGGCTATATACCTTGAATCCACCACCATCACATCTCTCACTCTCGAAGAAAATATTATTTATATATATTCATAAAAAATACTATATTCCAAGCCAAGACAAAGACTCATAAATTCTGTTTTAGTTAAAAAATAATACCCAAGAATATATGAAAGAAGAAGATAATTTCTCTTAAGGATGCTAAAACCCACCTAATAACTATTATACTAAGTTTATAGTACCCTATTAGGTGATTAAACCAAGAGACAATAATATGTTAAATCAATTTCATTAGCAAAATTTTTGGCATCTTTCAAATAGTCAGAGCTTATTAACTTGGAAGAAATTAATTAATTTACTAACCTCTTCAGAAATAGGGCAGCAAACGTTACTATTATTGTTTTATATAATTCTATTGCAATTCTCCTTAGTAGATCAGAGAAATTTATTGAGTAAAATATTCAGCCTACTAATAACTTATTTGAGAGGGTTTAAAGCTTCGAGAAGGCAAGTCAAATCAGTTCAATCTTCCATTCGGAGATTAAAAAATTCTTATCCCAACCGATACTTTTACTTTAATTTTTTATAAGATATAATTAAGCAAATTGAAATGTTTAAGCCCTTCATAAATATGAATATTGAGATTTTTAGTCAATAAAATAAAAAAAAAAGTTAAAACTCCAAATAAATAATTAAATATTTTTAATCAATCCGTACATCAATTTGAATTGCATTTCATTTCCTATGCTTTTGTTCATTCTAACCAAAGCCTTAGGACTAATATATAACATAGATGATGGGGACATAGAAAACTATACTTTGGTGGTTTGATTGGAATTGGGTTCTTCATCAATTGTTTATTTGTCATTGTCCGTTGAGTGATTAATTATTATGTGCGGATGTCAAACGCCGTCCGAAGATTAACCATAATTTGCAATGTCACCCCTTCGATGTGTACTGTAGCTCAGTACTGCTTGGTACCGCTCGATATTGTGGTTCAATACAGCTGATGTGGCTGCACCTTATTCGCATCCGAATGTAGAGCTACGTCAAGCTTCCGTACATAATATTTTTTCCCGTTGACTCGTTGAGCATGCTTTCCTTCACTTGTTTAGCTTTTTGGCCCCCTCGGCAAAATTTTTATTCAATAATTTTTTTTATTATTTAACTCACATTTTTTAAAATTCTTCAGATATAATAATTTACTAATAAAGTTAATTTGAAAGGAAATTATGTCACGATAAGACTATTTTTTAATAATTATCATGTCTAGATAATATGTGTATTTAGTTATATAGTCTAATTATTTATTTGTATTAAGTTATAAAATTAGGGACACATATCATAAATTAATTAAATCTTATTATAAAATATATTAGAATTTCCTTATAATAATTTTAATTTGCCTGTTCTTTAAAGAACCTTTTAAAACAGTAAAAGCGTTTTATTTCTTTTCAAAAGCGAAAGAAACTCTATTTAAAATCAAATTTGACTGTCCATTCAATCAGATGATTAATATTTAATTACTAATAAAATTATTTTAAATCCTAAAATATACAATTTTTTTTTTCTATGCATCAATAATTGCCAATATAATTAATACCCTATCTGAAATATTTTATTAAGTAATTGTTGAAAAACTTTGATGCATAGGAATTGCTTTGAATTTGATAATCAGACTTTGGACGGTTTAACAGTATTATGATATTATTGCCGACGTTTTTTTTTTAAAATGTATCATATTCGCTTGGTTTGAGGGTAGAGATTAGAGAAGCAAATTGATGAAAAGAATTTGATTAAGACTTTCTTTCTTCAGTAAATTTTTTCTTAGGCTTCTTTTAGGGACGGCTTTCTTAATACTTCTTAAAGCAATTTTTTAGTATAAAAATTTTAATTTGTAAACTAGAATACTGAAGAAGTAATAAAAAAGCTGTTCCAAACGAAGCCTTTTGTACTGCTTTTTAAACTGGCTTTCTAATACAAAATTTTCAAATTCAAGAATTTTTGTACTAAAAAGCTATTTTAAAAAAGCAAGAAGAAAGTCATCATAAACAAAGCCTTAATCTCTCTATACCGCTCAAAAATTTGAGTAGTCTATTAAACTCTGTGATTCTTGTTTTTCCCCCGAGCTCTGCTAGGGTTTGTCGCTTGGGGTGTTTACCCCGCCGGTGGGGGAATTTCTGGCGCTGCTGATCATCATTTTTAGGGAGTTTTTTTTCCTTTCTCTGATTTTGGTTGCTGGAGGCTTTTAGCTTTGTTTGTTTCTCTTTTTAGCAGGCGGTGCCGGTATGGCGTCGAATAAATTGAAGGATCCCAGTCTTTTTGGTGGTTTTTCGCACCCTAAGTCTTTTCTTGAAGCTTTAGCTAGTCTTTCTTCTTCCTTTTCTGATTTGAGGACTTCTACTTACCGTGTTATGCCATCGCTTTGGGTTTCCGATGAGGAAATCCAAGTGCTTGTTGCCCCCTTCCATTTTTCTTTGGTTGGTTTTTTCCGTCCAAACGTCCCCCTCTCAAGTCGATTCGGAATTTTTTCTTTAATTTAAAGCTGAACGAAGAAGTTTCAGTGACGATTTTGGATCCTTCTCACATCCTCATAAAACTGGCCAATGATCTAGATTATTGCAGAGTTTTCTACCATCGTTCTTATCTTGTTTTCAATTGCTTCATGAAACTTACTAAATGGTCTCCTACTTTGGACATTGGTGTGGAGTCGCCGGTTATCCCGGTCTGGATCTCTTTTCCTCGTCTTCGACCGCATTTCTTCTCTCCCAGGATTCTTTCTGGTCTGGGCGGTTTATTTGGAAAGGCACTGAAAATCGATAGTGCTACCGCTGTTGGATCCCGTCCATCCATTGCTCGTATTTTAGTAGAGCTTGATATTACTAAATCCTACCCCAAGCGAATTTGGTTAGGTTCGGAATCATTAGGTTACGTTCAAGAGGTTGTTTTTTATGAATTCCCTCAATTCTGTGTTGGTTGTAAGTGTATTGGCCATTCTCAGGGTAGTTGTCGTCCTGTTAAGCCTGTTAACGAGATATCTCCCCTCCCCTCTAACGTTAATTTACAGGTTGTAGATGCTGAAATTGTTACGTCTCATTTGGATGTGGAGTGTGAGGTTGAAATGGTGTGGTTTTGCCCGTTGAGGTGTTACCATCGGCTTCCCCTGTTGTTGGGGAGGTGTCTTTGCCTCTAGCGGTTCAGGCTGGCGATGAATGTCGTGCTGTAAATGTTGAGCTGGGTTCGGCGGTTCAGGGTGTAGATGAAGGTCGTGCTTATGTTGAGCTCGTTTCGTCTGATGTCCCCGTAAATGTTTCTCCTATGACGGTTTCAGCTCAGGTCGTTGAGTCTGTGACTAGTACACTAGTGGCTAGGGAGAGTGTTGAAAGGCTGGATCATTGTGGTGTTATCACTGAGGCTGTTAACTTTGGCTTACATCTAATGTTGTACCTTTTTTCCACCTACATTAATGTCTACTAGTAATGTGTGTGTACCTGGTAACATTGCGGGATTACTAGTTGAGGGTCAATCTGTGGACCCTGGCCCTGGTCTGGATGTGGCTGTGACTCAGGAATGCATTTCGGTTGCCAATAATTTTATTGAGGTACCTGTCAGTTTGGTCGATTCGCGAAACATAGGCACTACCTTAGGCGATAGCTTTGGTCTGGATATTAGGAATCATATGAATTGGTTAGATTCTTCATATGGTGATCTTGAATCAGAATTTTCTGATGGTGGTGGGTTGGCTTCTACGGATTTCTGTGGGGGCTCGGACTCGGGGAATGATTTCACTCTTGTTAATGTTAGAACCACTTTCAATGTTGGCTCTCGGGGAAGATTTCGTGGCCGGGGAAGGGGCCGGCGTAGGAGATAGTTTCTTATTTTTGGATTGGCCCTTGTTTTTTGGTTCGAATTTTTTGTCTGATATGCTGAGAGATATGCAGGTTGGTGGGGTTTTGAGCAATGATGGGTTGCGTCATTGATGCTTCGCTGGTGGCAACCATTTGTGTGCTCTTTCGAGTTGGTTCGTAGTTCGTCGCTTTATCCACCATGGACGGTCCTGGTATGATTTCAGTGATGCTGGAAGCTTTAACCACTTACTGAGCTCATGTTTTATTGTAATTTTCTCTTTATTTTTTCCCTGTTTTTTCATATGTTATAACGATTGTTTTTTTTTTATTTGAATAGAATCATGTTTTTTGAAAAAAAAAAAAATCTCTCTATATCGATCTATTTTTACTTTATAAGCTATTTTATATTTTTTTGCTCCTTGTTTGGTTCAAAGTAAAATGGACGTAAATTATTTCAAATATAAGAGTTTTGAAAATATTATTATTTGATAAAAGAAATAGAGTAAAATTTTAAAGTATTTGGAATAGCTTCTTTTTGTGCACATGATCAGAGCAAGTAGTTGTGAAGCTTCGTGAGGCTTAAGGAAAACGGAATATGGGAAGGAAGTTAGGAGA